AAAAAAAAAAAAAAAAGTCCCAGGCAACTTTTCTAGTTGTGCTCTGGCTCCTGTTCCACTTTGCAGGGACCTCACTCTATTTATTACGTTTCTTTGTCTTTGGTCGTATTTCTTCAACTTAGTGGTGCCTACTCTACTTGTCTCCTTCCTTCTCTGCTCCACAACTTCCTGTCCTGTCACCTGGTAAAGGTCACTAGAAGTCTATTATATAGCCAGCCAGCAAATATATATATTTTGGTACTTATCTTTCTCTCTTTATATGTGACATTATTTGGCACTCCTTCCTTCTTGAAGTGCTCTCCTGTTTTGGCTTCTGTGACACCAGTCTCCCTGAGGCCTTTTCTTCCTCTGGCCACTCCTATTTCTCATGCCTGTGGTGGTGTCTACCAGTTTAACCTTTAGCTCTCTTTATGCTTTTTGAGTCATTTTAGCCAGTCTGAGCTCAGACTCCTTCACCAGGTGATGACTCCCAAAGCTGCAGCTCTAGCTCCTCTAAAGTTCAGACTTGTTCTGAACATTTCCATCTGAATATCCCCCAAGCAACTAAAACCTAGTATTTCTCAAACTGACCTCATTCCATCCTGTTTTCCTCTACCTTCTTTAAACCTATTCTTCCTATTTCAGTATCCTCTCAAGATACATAAGCTGATCATGTCACACTCTGACTTAAAAACCTCCCAAAGCTCCTAACAGCCTTTCAGTTAAAGCCCAGGGCACACAAACCCTTATATGACCCTACTGCTTCAAGCCTCCAATCCTGGCTCCTTTCTTGTCCATAACTCAATACCACCGCCATTCAGAGCTACCTGAAGATCATTGTCTTTCTCCACTTCCACCCCTACATGCTGCTTCTGTTGGGAAGGCCCTTTCCCTTCCATATATTAGTATACTGATAATACTTTTCATCCTTCAGCCTTTGGTTCAGGCAGTTTTTCTTCATAAGCCTACTATGATTTAGTCTCCTTCCCTGGATGTATGCATCCAAACCATCTTGGGTATATGTCTACCATACCAATATCTGGGATTAGCAGATACTTGATATTTGTTGAATAAATAATTTCATTAGATCAAAATCAGAGAGGAATCTGGGTTTCATAATGGAGCAAAAATTTAGTTACCCATATAGCATCATTTCTAAGAGGTAACATATGATTCGGCAAAACTTGATTCTCAAGGATTTGGATACTCCTTTCAGTATGTTACTGAAGGAGTAAGTTAAGTTAGTTACTGTTCAGTAAATTACTCTCCCTCAGTGTATTCTATTAAATTTGGGGTTACAAGTTTATTATTGGGTTATGTAAGAAGCTCCAGAGAATTATTACAGTTTGGAAAAAAAAAGGTAAAATGTGTTAGTTTTATTAAACCTTGGAGAAGCACAGTATGAAGATCTACTAAACAAATTATTATTATTATTTT